TTGCATATGTGCACATAAAATATACATTTGCTTAAATATCCGCGGTCAATTCAATATTATTACATTTTACAATCTATTCAGTATTATTATTTAATTTTTTAATACTAGAATTGGATTTACAGATTCTACACGAATGCTTTTCGCTACATGGTGGATTTTTATACTGATTTTAACGTCCTTCTACACGGCGAATCTCACTGCGTTTCTTACAAAGCCTCAATTTACGCTGTCTATTAGTTCTCTGGAAGATATCGTTCAGAAAGGGTACAGTTGGATTACCTATAAAGGACGCACGATTGAGTTTCTTCTTTCTCAAGTAAGAGAGATCTTTTTAAGCGTTTATTGAATTATCTTTTTTAATAATATTAAGAACTTTGACGTACAACTTGTCACTTTTCCAGAACCAGGAAAACGAATTGAGTTTATTGAACGCAACCAAAACGCGTATAAATTTTAAATATCCCGAGCCTTCGAAAGATATTTTACAATTAGTTAGCACGAGTATGTACAATATAAAAAAAGACATCACGTATAATCATTTCACTAATTTTTCTCATTTAATTCTCTTTCTTCTTTTAGAAAAACTCTTCCTGGCAGAAACACATTACTTGCAAACTTTAATATTCGAGGACTACGTGAATAAGACTCGTCAACATTTGGAACATAACTTACGTTGTACGTATGTTATAATGCCTGGTAGCATTTTAACAACCAGCCGTGCCTTTGGTTTTCCACTTAATTCAACGCTTGGTAAAAATATCAATCTAATGTAAGATTTACAATAATTACAATTCTTTGCAAGATTTACAATTCAGTCCAATCCAATTCATTTGCTAAAAATAAGGACGAGTGTTTACCATCTTCATTTTTTTTTTCAGGATAGAAACTTCGTAGTGATGATATTGTATAGTTTCTTTGGTTTTGATTGCAGGCTGTTAAAATTACTAGAAACTGGTATTATAAATCAGAGGAAGAAAGAGGATCTACCATTAGCTGAAATCTGCCCAGTTGATCTTCGTTCGAGCGAGAGACAATTGCGAAACACCGATCTCCTTTTAACATACAAAGTTGTCGTGGCTGGATATACTATTGCTGCGATTATCTTCTTATTCGAATTGATATACGCGTTTATATTGTACCGAATGCAAAATAGTAAAAGGAGAAGTTGTCTGTCCTGTTGCGCTGCAAAAGCAAAGGCGCAAAGCTCTTCGAAGAATAACTTCCCAGTGAAGAATTGTTTGATGTTAAAAAAAAGTCCACCAGCGATTTATCAGTATCCTGACAACCTTTTGATGCAACGAAAACAACAACTTATCAATGGAAGAAGTTATTACGTGGTCACCAATCCGTATGGTGACCGAAAACTAATTCCAATCAGAACCCCTTCCGCATTTTTATTTCAATACGCAACCTAACTGTACTGAAGATATGTGAGATATATGGATATATCTTTTTCTACGTATGTCTATACAAATTGAACATTTGTATGTTAAATTAATTTGAAAATTGAAATTAATACTCGAATAGGAATTTCCTATTTCTATTTTTGTGAAATTATTAAGAAACATAACATTAAGGATTATTATAATATTATATTAAATTATTATAACATAATTTATATTTATAAATTAAACGAATTTTAGAATTTCCTGACGTTCAGAAAATTGGATCAGGATTTTTAACATTGTGTATAAACGTTGTGGAGTGTTACAAAAAAAGAAGAGAAATATAATGTTTGTGAATTTTTGTATTTCTAAACTTATATCTCTTTTAATTGAAAATCCTTGTATTATAACTTTTTTCCATTGACAATATAATCTTTGATCATATTAAATTACACGTACACACATTCATATACACATTATCAATAATATGTAGTTACATATATTTGAATAGATAGTACAAGACATTATTTAGGGAATTTGATTTTTATCGCAATTGATCAATTAATATTCTCGCGCTGTTGGTAATACTGAGTTTAAGATTAGGGAGTGAACAAATTAGTAAACAATACGAATAGTAAACTGTTCGTTAGATTGCCCGGGCGTTTTATATTTTTGTAAATATCTTGTGTTTTTTTGTATTTATGATACTTTATCGTTGGTATTTCAAATTAAATACTCACCTATTATGTGATGTGGCATTTTCACAGAAAATTTAAAACACTTTTCGTTGTATTTTATTTTGTTTTGTGAAAAAATATTTTCCCCGTTATATTTTTGATAACAAATCCGAGGTAATTATATAAATAAAATAAATTTACATATTGTTTCTTATTGCTTGTTACAGTAATAAATTGCTTCCAAATTGTGTAAATATCTTTTCTTGATATAAGGTAAGGAAAGTACTGTTTTGCAAATATTTAATAATAAAATATCTTGTAGGAAAGCAGAGTGAAATGGCTGAGGCAGAAATCTGTGGATTTCTAGATGTCAAGTTTTGTAGCAGTAAGTCTAAAGTTCAGAGAGTTAAAAAAAGAACGTTGGGCCCTTGGAAAACATGGAAGAGACATTGGTGTTCTTTCGAGAAATTGAGCTCTGGAGAAGGTGTTAGAATGAATCTTGATTATTGTATTAGCAACGACAATAGTTCCTCGTCAAATGACAAGGAGAATTTCATAGTAATACCATTGAATGCCATTGTTTGCCGTGCCCAGTCCAGATCCAAGCAATTTGCTTTTGGCATATTTCCCATTAAAGAAAGAAAGCCACTGCTCTATTTGGCTGGTAATTCAGAAATGGAGTCACAACGGTGGATGACGAACATCAGACAGCTGCTGAAACCTAGAAAACTTGAATTTGCACCAGGATCTTACAAAGTATCTATGGTTGATAATCCGCACTCTAAGGCATCAGGATTGACAGGTATTTAAATCATTGCTTGTGGAAAGAATTCGTGCTTCTTGAAATTTAATTGCTAAAGTATTTTCCAGGATTGTACGGCGACTTGACGACCAACACATCAGGAGTCGTGATAAAAAATGTTCATTCAGGAGAGATACTGGAGAATTTTAAGTGGAATGAGCTCAATCAGTTCCATTTGGTAACGGCAGGACGACCAGACGACGTTAAATGTATTTGCGTAATTCATACAACAGAAGAATTTCGCGCCGGGATCGGTGAACTGCATTTATTTTGTTTAGAAGCTGGCAAATTGTTGCAAGACTTGGTAACTCAGGGCCGTGGTCCAAGGTATAAACAAACCAAAGCGAGGCCTTACAGCTTGAGCGAAGGCGATATTAGGGTATGCCGTGATGAGCGTCCACATTGGTTCTCAGTAACAACTGAAAAGGTGAAATTAAATGTATCGCCTAAAGGAAGAGAACCAAATGAAAAATACGAAGAAATAGGTTGTAGGACATCTAACAAAACAAATGAGCATGTTTATCAACCAGAACCATACAGTCATCATCATGCTAGAAGTCACTCGGATATTTCTGTAACATCTGGGATTTATGAAGAAATTCCAGATGAATTGGAAAAGAATGCAGCAGCTGTTTCAAGTCTCTGCACGGAGCATCTTCGTGATCGATCGTCAGAAGAACCACCACCTTTGCCCCCACGACAAAGATGCGCCTCAGAGTCCATGAAAGGAAGCAGGTTTGTATCTATTTGGTTTTCCTTGTTATATGGCAGAATTATACTTATTTGATGTTACGTTTATTTTAATATATATCTTTTTTTAAGATGCAGACTGCAAGATATTCAATCCTCTGGACCTAGTAGCTTACCTCTGACAATATCTCATGGAAACTCTGTACAGATTGAAAGAAATAATTCAGAATTTCAAAGAATAACGGACGAGTCTAGTTATGTTCCTATGTCACCACGATTAAAAGATATCACATTAGTAGAAATGCAAGCAGCTCTACAAGAAAATGATTACGTTTTCATGCGATAGACGGAACGTAAGCTGCGGTACAGTGAATGAATTTCTATGAGAGATCTTAATAATTGCTGTCTAATGCTTGATCTCTTTCTTCCGAACTACATTTTTTTAAATATATATATATATATATATATATATATATATACATGTTTGAAAGAAGATACAAAAGACGAAGCATGGTTGATGTTAACTCAATTACATGCAGAGACAAGAAGAGGTCAAATACCAACAATTTTAAGCATTATCGAAAACCTACTGATTTGTACAAAATTTCATATACTTTATTCAAAATTATAAATTTGTACATGTGCGAGGTTTCCGTTTTCGGAACTGTATTGGAGCGCAGCAGATCCATATTGCTTAAATGAATTTAAAAAATTTTCTTAATATCAATGAATTTTCCAGTCATAATTAAATTTTCTAGATTTTATATATTTATAAATTAATCTGCAGCTGTTAATCGATGCTTCGAGGCTAATCCATGATTTGTAAAAATATCAAATTCTTCGCGGTTTAAAAGAGCTCCACGTACATCGTCCAAAACGATCACCTTCGGATATCTACAAATAAAAGAAAAAAAAAAAAAAGACTGTCATAATTTCGTGATAATATACATACACACTTATATATAAATATTTATATGAATATGTAATAATAATTTATATAAATATATATTTATATATTCATACAAATTATCATTATATATTTGATATTTGCATTACAAAAAAGAAAAATTGTGAATTTTATACAAAATATATAATGTATATATGATCAAATAATCCAGTTGAAAAAAAATATATTTACCCATTGTCGCTGCATCTCTCCCAAGCTTTTGCCAAAGACATTCTCACTAAATCTTCTGCAAAACATTCGACAGCCTAGCAAAATATAAAACATGTACAGACATTTGAAGGTATTTCCGTTAGTTTTTAAATTAAGTAGAAGTACAAATAGAAACGTACTCGCATTATCATTCGTCCAGCTGCGCAGTGTACAACAGTGGGCACGATTTCTTCGGAGATTAACTTGATACCAATTTCCCTGGCAGTTTCGCAAACAAAATCGTAAAACGGCACCAATCTCTTCTCGAGTTCCAATACTGTAATTGTTGCGTTTGTAAATTCCTTGCTCTCCCTCTTTTCTTTTAGTCTTTTTTTGTTTTCTAGTGTATTATCAGTATTTACCACATCAACCTCAATGTCCAGCTCATTGGAGTAACGCGAGTCACAGTCGAATAAATTGTCGTTCGATTGACTCGGATGAATTTCAAGCCACTTGTAAAAAGCATTGGGCTGCGTGTACGTAGAAATGCTTTTGGTGGAGTCAGGTAAACTTTTCTGCTGTTTCATCGACCGTACGTTAAAACTTGAACAAAGGGGCGTGTAACCGTGCAGTCTTGCCCAGATCATTATTTCCTTGATGCTCCATAATTCCTCCTCTGTGAATGACCTCCTCAGGAAATGACGTATCATTTTTGCTCGATTCCACTCGCAGGCATTCCGCTTCGCTACACTGTAGCTAAAATATTCCTCCTTGCTCACGCAGGCATAAGGATGGAGACGTCTGTAATCGGTGTCAAATGCGTCCCAAGTTATCATTGGCATTCTTCTGATAATGAATCGCAGCAGGCCCTGAACATTTCGAATATTTGCAACCTCGATTGCCTGGAAAACTTGATCGTACAGCTCCTTTTTACTCTGAAGCTTGTAGTTGTCTTTGCCTAAGGTGATCTTCTGACGCGACGACTTGCACTCTTTCAACTCTTGATTGTTCGCTTTCAACGTTTGCTCGGTGACTGATTCTTTCTCAATACTGGAAATACAAACCTCGTTTGACAAGTTTCTCTTCTCAGCTATTTTCAGCACCGGCACGTTGGAATTTACATTTAGGAGAACACCCTTGGGAATTTGAAGCTTCGCTCCTTGTTGCATCTTTGCTCCGTTGAGATTTCTCACTTGGACTTTGGCTTCTGCGGCTGCGGGCTTTTTCAACAAACTAACACCGCGAGACGCGGCTATATTTGTCTTCGACTTTGTTGGGTCGTTACAACGAGCATAATCCGCACCTGCAATGTCAACAGGTATCGTTTTATTGTTTTGGATGACTAAAACATGTTTGTTTCCAGATGGTTCAAATAACGGAGGGATAGAAATTTCCAATGGGCGGAAATTCGGATGGATCCTGGAACAACTTAGAGGAACTACTTTCGATGGATTCAGATCAACTTCGTTTGATAAAGGTATGTCAGTGTCTACCAGTTCCTCCTTTACTTTTACATTCGTCAAACATCCGTTGATTAAAGATTCATTTGTTACTACGTTGTTAGTTTCAGGATGCTCTTCTGTATCTTCTTTATGCCATGATGTTACCGACGTGTGATCGATAGTTAAATTTCTGTCGGAGTCATTTAAATACTTGGAGCCACAGTAATCGTGATCAAGTTCTATACAGAACAGCAGTTTCTTCGCGTTTATTAAATCTTCAATTTCCACATCCTCCGAAAATTCCTTCTTGACTGTCACCTCACCGTTCTTGTCTTGTCCTAATCTTGACATTTCGTTCAAGCTTACATTACTCGTGAAATCAGACAGAAGATTCGGATCTTCGTAGTTTTCTAGCTTTACCTTGCAATCACGGTCGCTCTCGTTGATATCTTGACTCGCAGCTCTCCCCGCGTTTCGCCTGGAATTTCGAGAATCCACGTAGATCCATATATCGACAAGTGTCTCAGATCCTAAAGTTTGCAAGCCGGTATAAGTGCGATCCAGTTTCAGATGATGTATTATGTCCATTGGTTTGTTGAGAGCGCTTTTAAAGTGCAGTTGCACTCTCAACGGGAATTCACCCCAACCTCGTCTCGAGAGGCAGAACGGTGCTGACGTAACCTCGACAACGTCGTTGGGCCTGTAACTCGGGTGTAAAAAGAATCTGACCTTGCTGACAAAACCGCTAATATCAGGATTCTCTTTGTCCCCTCTGACGTACATTGTCCATTTGTGACTAGCTGCGTCTTCCCTCCACTCCGGAGGGATCCACTTCGAGATGTTTCCAATGATTATGCGTTTCCTCGTTTTGTGTCTGGTGCCTCTCGACGGACATTGGGATTCGGGTATTCCACTTTTTGGCGGGATGTAACGAGGGATCTTTTTTGGCCGTGAGTCTTCATCGTGTGCCTCATTGTCCCTTTTCTCTAATCGACACTGCTTGGAAATTTGTTTCGTTCTACCATCAATGATGCTAGACGAGGACGTTGAGACTGATTGTGACGCGGCGAGATCACTGTTGGACGCAGATGCAGTTGAACTGTCGGTTAACTTGGGTGATTTGCCGATCAGTTGTTTTATTGCAGGATGAATTTGCGTTTGCTTTGGCTCTCCATTCTGTGAATTGTGGCATTGTTTGCGATTGTAAAAGTCAGCAACGATAACGTAACGTAACAGATGAATGATCTTTGATGCCCTGTGCAATCTTTCTTGTATCTCCAGAACCTCTTTCTCCTTTGCATTGATCTCCTGACAAAATTCCTTTTCGATGATGGCGGTTATCTTTCTCGCTGTGCTGCTTCGTGCTAAAACGAAATAACAACAAAATAGGTACAATTAACTTTGTATATTTTGTTACTTGGTACTCAATTTTTTTTTTTGGCAATATTACAATAAAAAGTGTCGAAATACAGGTACAAAAACAATTTTATATATACCATTTTCTTCGAAAATTCGTTGATGTTTCTCATCACTTGCGTCGGACGGCCCGTAATCGGGATCTTGATCTTTTAAGGTACTCATTTATCATAGTCGTTCTCGAACGTGTGATAATCAAACGGAAGCCGAAATCGAAGCCGATTTTTTCTCTACTTTACGTGTAACAGGGAAGCTACGCTTTTCGCAGCGAGTGACGCTGATTTTCTTCCACAGTGGCGAACATATGTGCCGTGTAACTTCTCGTCAAATCACCCTTCGGGCTAAGGTGTAGCGATTCGATGTGTCCACTTTAACTCTCTGTAAACAAACGACTGAGGTTATATTCTCCACGAGACACTCTACTTCAGTCAGTGGTGATGATTAATTTTAAAAATGAGAAAGTCCATTACGCACGTTTGACTATAATTTTCTTACACATGTTATCAAAACTGTGATACATAGTAACAAAATACGTACATATATGTACATATACACATGTACGTATCGAAGTTCAGTCACTATACTGTCCATATGTTATTTTATATGATATTGAAACCTTTGAGAAAGCGTGACAATATACGTGAAGTATGTCATTAGTGCGACGTAACATACATATGTAAAGTTAACGCTTAGTAACAACAGGCGTGCTTCACAGGGCAAAAAAAATCTGGTCAATTTCTTCGCCCACTTCCCTAAAAGCGATGACTGTCGTCGACGACGTTTCTCATCGTGCCCGTCTGTAGAATGACGATCTTTCAAACTTCTAACCTGACCTGGTCTAACCTTGTCAATTCTCATTGGCGTGAAAAATTTGACAAAAAAGAAAAGAAAGAAAAAATCTGGAGTAACGCAGCAACGCAGGGTTTTTTAGCCTTCAGCTGTGGAGATTTTTTCCTCTTTGTCTCTTCCAAAACAACCGATAGATGTCGCAGCCTAGGGACTTTCGGTGATCGACGAACCTCGAATAGGGGAAATGCCGCGCGACGGATTGGCAACAGGCAGCCTGGCAGAGTGTGTGCAAGTGTAGTCATGGCTGTCTGACAAAACATTCGAAATAACAAGAATTAACGCGGCGGTTGGTTGTCGAGGGTGCGATGTCGTGTTGCCCGCGAGGCGCAACGCTGTCCTGACTCGGATTACAAACGGTTGGCCAGTGACACGCCAGCGAAGGATCGATTCGTGGCCGTCTGGCACGTTTCACGGTGCACCCGCTATAGATCACCGTCGGGAATAATAATAAATAAGTGGATCGAACTGTGGATCGGGGGGGAAAAATCGAAATTGTGTCGCGGTACCGAAGACGATCTCACGTGAGAACGCCTCCCTTCCGTAGTCCCTTCCGTGGGTCCCTTGCTGAGACGAGCGTCGTATACCAACTTCGACCACCGACAACGATCGATTACGCAAGATGACCATTCTGTCGAAGAAGAAGACGAACGCCTCGAAGGACAGACGGGAAGGAGGCAGTACGTCTGAAGTCGACGTCCACGGCGTGCAGAACGAGCACAACCCTGGGTCCATCGCGCTACCAAACAGCCCGTATCAGGTGAATGAGTATAATGTCCACCCCCTCTCCCTCCCCTCCTCATCACCGTTTCCGCCACCCTCGTTGAAGCTGCGCTACTCGCGCGAGCACCTCTCTTCTAGTTGCTACATAGTTGCTATTTAGTTATCGCGACAGCCCAGCCTCTCAACGAACCGTTTTCCGATACGTGACAGGTACGTGCAGCGAATGGTTTCGCGGTCGATCTACACGGGGTACAGACCGATCACGGATCCGGTTCCATCGTTCTTACGGGAGGCTCATACGAGGTAGGAGATACATAAGGACCGATTGTTCCTTTTTTCTTCTTTTCTAACTCCCGCCCTCCCCTCCCGCCGCCTCTTGCTCCTACGCCGACCCCTATCGTCGCGCAGTTCTCATAGTAAGTCACATTACGTACGAAACGTTTGGATTTTGGAAATTTGGTTTATCCCTTGTCTCAAGAATACACATTTCTTCTTTCTTCTTATTTTTATTTCTACACATTTTCTGCTGTCATATTTCGTCGCTTTAGTTCGTTAGTGTTGATAATGCATTCAATTCCTGATAATGTTTCTTTTTTTTTTTTTTTTTTCTTTTCAAAGAAATTGGTGAAAATAAGTCGAAAGTTCTGTCGTTGTAGCTTGACACGTTAAAAGAAATAAAAGGTAACAGCTGTAGGGTCCAACGAGAATTAAAGAATAAAAGTCCCATTGTTGCTAACAATAAGTTGTTCAATATGTTGTTCATAATTTTTTGATAATTTCTTAGAATATATTTTTTTTCTTTTTTTTGTTTTATAGATCATTAATTGTGATTTACTACATGTACGGTATTTTTTTATGTTTAATAAGAATGTATTATAATATATTCAACACACGTTTCATGCATCTCATGTGTTTTTCCATTGAAGTCAAGCGTAGATCGTCGAGAAGACAAACATTTTGAAGAAGGAAGTGGTCCCAGTCATGGCAAGCGTCATAGACAACGGGCAAGTCCTCATAGGTATGACTAAAAAGTTCTGAAATTTGTCTCATTTTATACAAAATGTAAATGTTTATATCATATATACAATGTTTTATAATTTATATATACTTGTATACACATGTGAAGCTTAATCTGTTATATCGTTCATGTTCTGTTATATCATTCGTTTGTCTTATGCAGAGTTTTTGTTTTACAGTGGCTGTATCGGAAGAAATTCGCGTTCCAAACGTGAAAGAGAAAGAGATAGAGGGCGAGAAAGAGACAGGGAGAGAGAAAGAGAACGTGAAAGACAAGCTACACCTCCCACTGCATCCAGCAGTGGTTTACAAGGTTCATATTTGTAATGCTTTTTTTATCAATACATTAAGTTTATCGTGTAATATTTGAATAAGTATAGATTGGTTTGAATTATATTGAGAAAGATCATTTTTCTTTTACATTAAGTATATATAAAGTAAAAAAGTATAATCCCTTATAAAAATAATGAATAATATATCTTATTTAGCTACAGATGGTAGTGTCATAGCTAACAACCGAATGACTATTGTTGGGGCTGCTGCAAATATAGAACATGAATTAGCTAATGGATATAACAGTGGTGATGAATACACTGGCAGAACTGGGAATAATCTTACACTAGCAGAATGGCAAGAGGTTAGTTATGAATCAAATATATATTGATTTAAATGTTTTATTATTATTGAATGTTTATTAAAAATACATTTTTTCTACATAGCGGGATAGGTGGTTTGAGAAACGGATGCGGAAAATGGGATTTATTGTCAAGAAAATGGGTGAAGACGGAGCATGCTTGTTTAGAGCTGTTGCAGATCAAGTTTATGGTGACCAAGAAATGCATGGTGTAGTTCGGAAGCATTGCATGGATTATATTGTAAATATAATTATATTTATATTTATATTTATAATATTGTAAATATAATTATATTTATATTTATACTTATAATATTGTAAATATAAATATTGAGAACGAAGATTATGTGAAAATAAATTTGCAATGTGTACATTTGTAATGTGTGATCTTTTAGGCTTCCAATCAAGAATTTTTCTCTCACTTCGTAGCGGAAGATTTTAGTACGTATGTAGATAGGAAACGGCAAGAGTATGTACATGGAAATCATATAGAGATGCAAGCAATGTCTGAAATGTATAATCGTAGCATTCAATTGTATTGCTACAGTACTGGTACGTATTAATATGCGCTTTGGTAAAGCAATTTTTTTTTGTACATTTAATAATAATATCACCTTTTATAATTGTAACACAGAACCTATCAATATTTTCCATACGATGGTTGAAAGTGATAATGAACCAATACGATTGTCTTACCAACGTGGTAGCCATTATAATAGTATAGTAGATCCGTATAAAGCTACAATTGGCGTTGGTCTTGGCTTACCATCATTTAACCCTGGAGCTGCAGATCGACAGCTTATATCAGATGCAGTTCGTCAAAGCGAAGAATTACATATTGAGCAGGTGAAGAATTACTAGAGTCAATTGTTGTTATATTTAAAATCTTAAATTTTAAACTTCAAACTTTTAATAAAAAAAATAAAATAGAATTTTTGTGCACAGACTATGCTAGAAGATAAAATAAAAGCAACTGATTGGGAAGCAACGAACGAAGCTATAGAGGAACAAGTTGCCAGGGAAAGTTATTTGCAATGGTTAAGGGATAATGAAATGCGAAAAGCTGTAAGTTCCATGCAATTTTTGAACCTATCACTGTAAATAAGTAGTACGAAATGTTACTGATTCCTGATTTAATAAAGCGATCAGCCAGTAGCAGCAGCACAAGTACGGTAACAAGTGCGCAACACAGTCACGCTCATTTTCATCCCCATGGAGGTCGTGGCCAACAACGTAGCCACACTTCTTCTCCGACCACGACTCAAACTAGCCAAGATAATTTGCGTAATTCACCAAAAGTCTGTTTCGTACTAAGGTTATTAATACAATATTATCTTGTATATTATGCTTTGTATGTTTTAACTTATAATTTTAGGTAAACGATTCCGTAAGATATAATAAAAGATCCCCGCAACATCAGTCAACACAAGGATCAACTATGTCGCACCTTGCCTCAGACTTTGAATCTAAAATCTCTCAGGAACCTGTACCAGGTAGCAGTAAAGAGGCTCACGCTTCACCGGATATCTCGTTATTTAATCGTCTTCCTCCTGAAGTGTTTGGTAAGTTGAAGTGTTGACAGTTAAATCAATTAATTTTAAATATTTTGACGAAGAAAAATAATTTCTACTATATCTGTATGTTGCTAGGTTTGACTGATTGGGAAGACAGTGATATACTTTCGCAAGTTTTGGCCACGTCACAGCAAGAATACTTGGACAGCTTGAAACAATCACGGAGTTCTACCTCCTCTGGAAATGATACTAACAATATACTAGATTCCAGTAATAGTTAATTTTTAAAATCGTTATTGATAAAGTTTAAACGAATACAGAAGCAAAAGTATATGCATTTGTATGCAGCGTTTTTCATAGGATGTGATATATCCGAAAAATAAGATAATTCTAAATCAAAAAAAAAAAAAAAAAAAAAAGAAAAAAAAAAGAAAGAATGAAGCAATTCTTAGTGTTATCACATGGTCATTAGTCACTGAGTCATTGAAGATTATGTTGAATGCATACCTAATAAACTTAATTACCGATTACAATCTATGTCATACTGATTTTTGTTAAAATCATTGTCAAATTAGATTCGAATTGCAAGATATATCGAGTTTTCAAAGAAATGGTTGGATTGTAATTTTATCTAATACTATTACAATATATTTATAAGATTTAGAATCTTGGCAAATGCGTGAATGTAAGTCGAGGTATTTTATAGTAGCAGAAGTAACAGTATGAGCAAATCGATATTCTTCTTGATAAAACAATATATAGAAGTGTTTAAGTTTATTAAGGATGCATCTGCTTTCCTTCTCTAATAACATTAAATATAATTAACAAAGAAATGATCACGTAAAAGCATCAAGAATTGTCCTCTTTAGTTAAAACGTTTTTGGTTTGACATGGGTTTGACAATGCATCTTATGGGATACTCTGTACATATTGCAGTATCATCTAATTGCACTAGGGTATAAGGTGGTTTGCTTTTTTCATTGAAAGTAAATGTTTGGTCAGCATAATCATCCTTCAATTTCATTTCAGAATTAACTATGTGTGCACGAGTGCTGCAAGAGTACGTAATCGCGTTAACGTGTACACTTTTTTTGAAAAATTAGTGTAGCCATATTGTTTTATCAGCGATGTTTCATATTATTATGAAATTTTTTACAGTCGATCTTTAAAAAATAATCCTTTTCTGTCGGTGTCCATCTATATTAAAGTCTCTGCGTGTTCTTGAATGCAGCGTTCATCATTATGGATTATGCAATTTAATCAGGTCAATTGCGTCGTCACATCATTTTTTTTTTTTTTTTTTTCTGTGGTATGATATGATACATCTAAACGCTTTAGAAAAACGAAATCTTTATTGCGTTACTTGTAAAAAAAGACAAATAAAACTACTATATGTAATTTAATGCCCGAATTTTCCCTATCTTCGCATATGTTCTTTCGTTAATATGTAAAAAGAAAGTGTCTACTAACACAAACCTTAGAGATCTCCTCAAATAGTATTAAAACTAAATAACTACTTTATAAATTGTGAGCAAACAAGAATGCGTTTTTTGTAAACACTTTTTATGAATAATAATAAATCCACAATCTATGCACGTCACATGTTCTCGAAATGTAATTAAATTTTATTTGTGCATTGCAAATTATAAGCATAAATGAAGGAACAATTCGTTACAATTTTCGTGCGATTTTATTTGTTAATTCACAATATTGTCCCGTTCAGTTGCGAAACTGATCGAATCAAAAAAATCGTATATATTTTTAAAGTTGTATGTATCTTTCCAGAGCTTTTCTCGAAAAGCTGAATACACTCAATTATTTAATTATTACATTTCGTTGTATTGTTCAGTTTTAAATACTTGACTGGTGTAACAGATGGTATCCTGACATACTAGAAAAAATTCAAAATACAAGTATTGTTCGCATTGATCTATCATAACAGATCAATTACTCTTATAGTCTCATAATCCAAGTGTGTCTGCGAATTTACAACACTTTGCCAAAAATATGTCACTACACATAGACGATTATATATTTGAAACAGTGTTAGGGCAAGGCTCCTTCGGGTACGTATTCGTGTTAAATTATATATTTCCCTACTGTCTTCTTATATCGTCTACTGTTTCTAGATCTGTTTATTTAGTACGGCGGAGGAAAGATTTGAAACCATTTGTTGTTAAGGAACAAATTCTCGATGATGTAAATGCATTACCTTTTAAGGTGAGAAAATCTCTTAATTGAAAAAGTAATGTATGCAACATGTTTAATACAAAGTTATAAAAGTACCATATTTCATACAAAATTATGTCTCTTAATCTTAAATATACGTGTGCATGCTTAGAACATACTAGAAGAAGTGAAATGTTTGCACACGTTGAGGCACACTAATATAGTGGCATATTATGGAGCTTGGATAGAGAACAATCACAGTTACATTCTTATGGAGTATGCAACGCGTGGCACCCTGAAAGATCTGTTAGAAAACAACGAGACACCGCTCAAAGAGGAAGTAAGAGCCTAAGATCTCGATATTTCCAACTCGTTGTTACGTTAATATATATTAATTATTGCCCGTGTATTTAGGATGCGCTGTACTTGTTCTCCCAAGTTGTTTTAGGAGTCCATCACATTCATTTCAAAAAGATTCTTCACCGTGATTTGAAGCCGGAAAATATCATGCTGACTGGCAGTCGCGGTGACATCGTGAAAATTGGAGATTTCGGCGTCTCGAAAAATTTCGCGGAGTATCATTCACTGTAAAAGAAAAGAGAAAAAAAAAAAACTTTGTCAAATTTGTGTTGGATAGTTTTACGTGTAATTTTGCTGAATGTTATTCTCGTATCTACATACACAGATTAACGAACTCATCGATCGCATGTCGCGCCGGATCTTTTCGTTACATGGCACCGGAAATGCTGAGGGACCAATTTTACGACTTCAAGTGCGACATATGGAGCATGGGTGTCATTCTCTACGAAATGGTCACGAAGAGACACCCCTTTCCTGCTACGGTAAAATCACATCAGACACAATCCGAATTTTCATCAATGTAATTCTTAACTTTCCACGTTTCAATGTTTCTTCTTAACCCGGTCTGTACACATGATTTTTACAGACTTTAACGGATATTATAAGAATGATCTGCGAGGAAAGGCCACGACCCCTTCCCGAGGGAACGTCAACGACCATTATTAGCCTGATATCAAAAATGTTGAGAAAAGATCCGTTTCACCGGCCTAAAATAGATCAATTGGTCATTTGTTCGTACCTCGTGCCTTTCATCATTAGAATATATTTAAACTTGGGACGAATTTCGAACGTTATTAACAAGGGGAACGGGAACTACGATTCGGGAATATTTTTGAGATTTCTAAAATCGCAAGTATTTAAATATATATTTCTCTGTAGGCATCTTCTTCATTTGCATTCAAATAATTATCATATAATTTTATATACATATATGTATATATTATATATACATGTATATTATATATGCATATATATATAATATACATATGTATTACATATAATATATATGTATGTAATATATACAATATATACATGTATGTAATATATATATATACATGTATATATATGTAAATATTATATACATATATATGCATATATATTATATACATATATATACATGTATATATTATATATATGCATATATATTATATACATATATATACATGTATATATTATATATACACATATATATGTATATATTATATATATACATGTGTGTGTGCGCGCGTGTGTGCGTGTGTGTGTGTGTGATACTTAGTATCATAGCCTCTGTAATAATTGCCAATAATTATTATAGGTAGCTAAATAGATTTAACGGAATTCTATGAAGAACGGTTATCGAACTCGGCCTCTCTGTACCAGGATCAGAAGCGTAACGACAGGAAGCAAAGGCCGGAACTGCGGAATGTTCGTTTCATTTCATCACGTGCATACCTCTTTTGAAAACCGTTCAGTTCAGTATTTAGTTTAGTTATCATTCCTCTGCCTGTATAAACGTTGCTATGATTGCCACTTCTCGCATCTGGATATTAGGGAAACCGTGTTGAGAAGTCACGCGTTGCTCTCGCCGTGCGAGTTGAAGTTCAAGATCTTTCGTTTCCGCGTATTTAATGTACTTGGAGATCCACGAATATTTATACAATAGGGATCTTCCACGATGAAACTTGAGTATCTGTTTGAAATTCATTCTGTATCTCAATATTAAAATCTGTTCGTTTCTTATC